CCGGCCACAGTGCGCCAGCCACAGCAGCCATTGGAGGGTGAACCAACGGCAAAGGAAGACCTTTCTCTCTCTCTCTCTCACTGTCCACTCTGCCTGTCAAAAAAAAAAAAAAAAAAAGTACAGTTCCAAGTGTGTGTAGAACTAAGCAGGCTTTTTTTTAATGTGCTTTCCCAGGCACACGAGTAGGGAGCTGGATGATAAGCAGAGCAACCAGGACTCAAATAGGCACTCCAATATGGAATGGCAGTATCCTAAGTGCCAGCTTTACCCACTGTGCCACCACAATAGCCCCAGTTCATCTTGTCTTGCTGGAAATGGATTCTCCCCCTATCTAGGGTTGTAGCAAAATGGGGTTTCTTTACCATAAATAATTTTTTTCTCTGACAAAATAATTTAAATTTTTTTACTTGGGTATAACACATGTACAGTGAAGTTACATACTACAGCCCACTGAAATTCCATAAACTCGATCCACCTCTTGCAACCGGAAATGAGAACACTGCCAGTGCCCCAGAAGCCTGCCTCCTGCCCTCCTGTAAACTCCTGGAGCAGAACTATCGTGCCGTCACCACTGTAGCTCAGCTGTATCTGCTTTTACACTTATTTTTTTTTTTAATTATGTTTTTTTTCTTGACATGCAGAGTGGACAGTGAGAGAGAGAGAGACAGAGAGAAAGGTCTTCCTTTACCGTTGGTTCACCCTCCAATGGCCGCCACGGCCGGCGCACCGCGCTGATCCGAAGGCAGGAGCCAGGTGCTTCTCCTGGTCTCCCATGGGGTGCAGGGCCCAAGCACTTGGGCCATCCTCCACTGCACTCCCTGGCCACAGCAGAGGGACAGAATCCGGCGCCCCGACCGGGACTAGAACCCAGTGTGCCGGCACCACAAGGCGGAGGATTAGCCTAGTGAGCCACGGCACCGGCTGCTTTTACACTTATATAAGTGAAATCAGACAATACATACTCTGGCTCCTTTCACTCAATGTCATGTGTGTGGACTTCATTTAAGTTTCAACAAGTAAAACAGACCATTTATTCCCACTGAACATAGAATACACAATTCCATTATGTGAATTCACAATTTATTTCTTCATCCAGTTACTGATGGGCATTTGGGTAGTTTTCAGTTTGGACTATTATACATAAAAGTGGCTATCAACAGTCTCTTGGCGACTATGCTTGCATTTATTAGATATAAACCTAAGAATAGGATTGCTGGGTGACAGCTGATTTTTAAAAATTCTCCTGGCCCAAGATGTCCACTTTGATCAACACTGCCTTAAACCCATCACGTAATGTTCGTGGTTTATTATGTATGCATACGCCCTTGTTAATGTGTTCATTTTCAACTTGTTAGTTCAGCAGATGTCCTGCAAGACAGCAACTCCCACCCCTGCCCCGTGGCTTTCTGCACAGCAATGGGGACGGGATGTCGCCCTGAAATGTCAGTAACAAGTTATTCTGGACAAGAACTGTGGAATCCACCTGCCAAGGCCAGCCTAAATCACATGTCTTACATAAAAAATTTCCCATTGTTTTACGGCTCATTCTTGTGAAGCACAATTCTCTCTGGTCAGAGATCAAAACAGGTGTCTCCCCAGAGCACCTGCACCTGCCGCACCTCCCATGGGGATGGCTACCTCATTTGAGAACTGTAGCTGCACTAAAGTGCTCCCACCAACCTATCTTGGGGTTCCGGGGGTGGGAGCTCTATCAGGAACAGGGAAGACTGACTTTGTTAATTTTCTAATCTGCAATTATCTAACATGTCTTTAATAAATAAAAACAGATTTTTAATAACCATTAACATATTTGCTTCCCAATAGATCGCGGACTTCTCTGAGAGCAAGAACAAACTCAAACCATCTCTGGGTTGCCACCCATCTAGCACAGCGCTTGCTTACACAGAAGCCCCGTCAGTGTCACAATGCATAGTCTTTGTTTGAAATGGGTTGAAAGAATCTACTGGATAGCTGGCCAAAAGTGGAGTCAATTATTGAACAGAATCTTCCTCTGTGGAATTGAATTGACAACTCAGATGTTCATGTTGGCCAAACAAACTCCATAGCATGGAATGTTCTACAACAGTAAACAGCAATGAGTCACAGTGACATGGAAAATGCTCCAGGATTTATTATTAGCTAAAGAACAGCAAACAAATGTAACTGCATAACATTTTATGGTTTAAAAAATATAAATGGGGGACACCCTGTGGTGTATTAAGTAAAGCCACCGCCTGTAGTGCTAGCATCCCATATGGGTGCCAGTTTTGAGTCCTGGCTGCTCCACTTCCAATCCAGCTCTCTGCTGTGACCTGGGAAAGCAGTGGAAGATGGCCCCCAAGTCCTTGGGCCCCTGCACCCGCATGGAAGACCCAGAAGAAGCTCCAGGCTCCTGGCTTCAGATCGACCCAGCTCTGGCCATCACAGCCATTTGGAGAGTGAACCAGCAGGTAGAAGAGCTCTCTCTCTCTCTGCCTCTGCCTCTCTGTAACTCTGCCTTTCAAATAAATAAATTAATTTTTTAAAAATCAGTACATGTTTCTTTTTAAAAAAAAAAAAAAGAATTATTTTATTTATTTGAAAGTTAGAGAGAGAGGTAGGGCCAGAGAGAGAGGTCTTCCACCTGCTGGTTCACTCCCCAAATGACTGCAACAGCCAGAGCTGAACTATTCCAAAGCCAGGAGCTTCTTCCACGTCTCCCATGTGGGTGCAGGGGCCCAAGCACTTGGGCTATCTTTACTGCTTTCCCAGGCCTTAGCAGAGAGCTGGATCGGAAGAGGAGCTCAAACTGACGCCCATAAGGGATGCCGGCACTGCAGGCTGGGGCTTTAACTCACTGTGCCACAGCACCAGCCCCAGTACATGTTACAAAAGAGACTTACTATTAATGCAGAGGAAAAGGCCTAGAAGGCCACATACCACATTCCACAGTGCTAACTGCAGTCACATTCAGAGTATGGGAGGTTGCAGTTGGTGTTAAGGATTTAGCTGTAGAGAATGGATTTTTCTTCCAAGGTTATTACATTTGTGTATTATTTGTGTAATTGAACTGTTAACATTTTAAATGAAATTTCTCCCAGTTTTTCTAGTATCTGAACACTGAACTATTCCAAAAATAGCTCTCTCCCTGGTTCTGCCAGTAGGTTGATCTTTCAAGCATAGTTACCTGGCTATGTCCACCTAAGCACCATGAAAAATGTAGAGCAAGGAACAGATGAGGATTCCTTAAACAAGCTCGGATTTGACAAAGTGCTGCCCACGGCAGCCAGGACTCTAAAGAAAGTCCTGGCAGACCGATGCAGTGTCGACTTCTCTTATGGGCACTGGTTCCAGTCCCGGCTGCTCCACTTCCTATCCAGCTCCCTGCTAATGCACCTGGGAAAGCCGCAGAGGCTGGCCCAAGTCCCTGGGTCCTCACACCCACATTGGAGGCCTGGAACAAGCTCGGGGGCGCCTGGCTTCGGGCTGGCCCAGCACCAGCCATTGTGGCCATCTGGGGAGTGAACCTCTCTCGGTCTCTGCCCAACTCCGCCATTCTCATAAATAAGTCTGTAAATAAAGCAATAAATCCTGGCATGGGTTGGGTCACATTTTTAAAGAATGCGCCCTCTAAGGGCTGCGAGGCGCTTTAATTCTCCCACAGAAGCAGTTAGAGATGGTGCAGATTTAATGCAACAGAAAAACGGGGGACACGCGTGCTCACCGCACTGTAGCCTCAAATAATAAAAATGCCTTTTGTCTGTAGCGCTTTACAGTTTGGGGTTTTCTTTCGTATACGAGGGGGGTTTAGGGTAAGGAGTCCAGGCCAAGTTCCGCCACTAACACATCGGTTATCCCTGGCCCACCAGCGAAGTCTGATTTATGGCTTGTTTTCTCAACGAAACAGGGAGGCTGGGGCGGACCAAGTCCGCGGCGCAGCCATTCTCAGATGTCCATCCAAACCCGGCCAACAAACGCCTCTTCCGCATGGCCGCGGAGGGGATGCTGGTCACTGCCGGGGCTCCCCAGGGGACCCAGAGGTCCGAGTGCGGGACCGACCTGCTCAGGACTCGCTCCAGGTGCGGGTCATTCCCGAGCCTCGCTGCGATGCACCCAGCGCCGGGGCCGGAAAGGATCCCCTAGGCGCCGCGGGGCCGGCACTGGCGAGGAGGGAGCGGACGCGCCGGCCCGTGACGTGGCCCAATCGGCTGCCGGCGCCGGCGCTCTCACCCCAACTGGCGGACTGGCCCCGCGGCCGCCTCCGGGACACCGCGGGGACGGAGAGGGGGCGGGCCTAGGACGTGGCCCAATGGGAGCGCGCGCCGGGGCGGCGGGGGCGGGGCCGGGCGCAGGGAGCAGGGCCGGGCGGCGGCGGCTCCAATGAGCGCGCGCCGCGTCCGGGGCCGGCTGGTGCGCGAGACGCCGCCGAGAGGTTGGTGGTTAATGTAACAGTTTGCAAACCGAGGGGAGTTGTGAAGGGCGCGGGCTGGGGGGCGCGCTGCCGGTCTCGTGGGTACGTCCGCGCCGCATCTGACCCAGAGCTGGGGCCGCAGGAGCGGAGGCAGGAGGTAGCAGGGGTGGGGATGCAGCCCCGGGGCCGGCCACCTCTTGTAGGGAGGCAGCGTGCTGGCTCCGGGGGCGGGTCGGTACCGGGAGGGAGGGCCGCACGGACGCTGGTGCTCTCGGCCCCGCGCCTCGGGCCCCGCCGCCGGCCTTCGGGCCGCCCCCGCGCGCTGAGGGTGGCCAGGACCCGTTTCCGGGCTTGGGCGCCTCAGCTTGGGTCAGGTGAGGCTCAGGTGGACAGCGGATACTCGATACCCGCCTTGAGAGCAACCTTAGGGCTCCCGGCGCAGCGTCTGTGTGGGCTGCGGGGCCCCGCGAGTGGGATGAGGAAGGGGAGTGGGCGGGAGCCGCAGGGATGCCGAGGAGACGGGCCCCTTCCATCCCAGCCACCCCCAGCGTCATCGCCTTTCAGTTCCCGTGCAGGCCCTGGCCGGCTTTGCTCGCTCGCGGGGAACTCCAGGTGTGGAGAGGTGGTTGAGCCCTGGCCAGGGATCCCCGGCCCCACCCCGGGTGTCTGACAGCCGGGCCCGGTGCTGGGTACACGGTTACTGCCTGGAAGGCTCCGGTCTCCTTCCTTCCGGCCTAATACCTTCTCTCGGGGATGTGATGGAGCCCAGGGCCCATGCTGTTTCGCCTGGGCCTTGGTGTGGACACTGCTGGGGATGCCTGGAGAGTGGTTGGCACTCATCAGGAGGTGGAAAGGGGGTATAAGCTGCTGTGCCCTGGGCGAGAATGGAGTAGGTACGAATCTTACCGTTTCTCTGGTCTGGAAGTGGCTGTGTCTCCATCACTCGGGCATCCGGTTACCAGTATTTTTTTTCCCTCCTCCCCAGGGCATAATGGCAGCCACAGGCAGGAGGCAGAGGCTGAGGAGGCCAGCCTGCTGGGCCTTGATGGCTGTGCTCTTGGCAGACCTGTTGGCACTGAGTGGTACGTACGGGGTCTGAGCCAGTGTCACACGGTGGGAAGGGGGCTCGAGGTGCCTGGTCAGAAGTCTCTTGGGTGCAGGACCCAGGCTTCCTTCTCTGTCTCTTGCTGTCTTATTCTCTGTGTGGAAAGTGGCGGAGCCTCCGTAAGACAGGGAGGGAGGCTCACCCACAGACCTCTGCTCCCCTGTCCCCAGACACGCTGGCAGTGATGTCCGTGGACCTGGGCAGCGAGTCCATGAAGGTGGCCATCGTCAAACCTGGAGTGCCCATGGAAATCGTCTTGAACAAGTGAGGCCGGCCCCAGGGCGGGGGTCAGGAGGGAGGGAGCCCGGCCTCCTTGTGGGTGTGGGGTGGTCCTTGTAGTACCCACAGCTGACAGTGGCCTCTGAGTGGTTGATTGTATGTGAGGTGCTGAGGTTCCTGAACCCACATGTGCTGCAGACCCTGGGTTCAATATCTGTTTTCCCCAGGGAATCTCGGAGGAAAACCCCGGTGATGGTGACCTTGAAAGAAAATGAGAGATTCTTTGGAGACAGTGCAGCAGGCATGGTGAGCTGCCAGCACCCATTCCCAGTTGTGGTCTGGCCCCTTATCCGTGTCTGACGGAGGTGGGCACCCCTGGGCTTGAGACCCTAATACTCAGCCTCCTCCTCACCTCACAGGCCATCAAGAACCCCAAGGCCACCCTGCGTTACTTCCAGCACCTCCTGGGGAAGCAAGCAGACAACCCACATGTGGCTCTTTACCGGGCCCGTTTCCCGGAGCACGAGCTGAGCTTCGACCCCCAGCGGCAGACTGTGCACTTCCAGATCAGCCCGTGAGTGCTGCGCTGGCGCAGGCGGGCTCCTCACGGTGCGTGCTCGTGGCTTCCTTGCCACCAACTACCCTCCCTCTCCCCAGGCAGCTGCAGTTCTCACCCGAGGAGGTGCTGGGCATGATTCTCAACTACTCCCGCTCCCTGGCTGAAGATTTTGCTGGTGAGTGCCAAGGTGGGACCCATGGCAGCCAGATCCCCCAGGAGCTAAGGCAGCAGTTCACAAACGGGCAGGAACATCTGGCTATGTCTGAAGACACACCTGGTTGTCACATCTGGCCTCTGGTGGGTGGAGGCCAGCGACGCCGCCCAGCATCCCTGGAGTGCACAGGACAGACCCCAGCAACAGTTACCTGGCCCTGAGTGTCAGTAGCGCTGAGGGTGGAAATCCTCATCCAGGCGTGGAGCTGGTGGGACCCTGTTCTCTTGTCCTCTGCAGAGCAGCCCATCAAGGACGCGGTGATCACCGTGCCGGCCTTCTTCAACCAGGCCGAGCGCCGGGCGGTGCTGCAGGCTGCTCGCATGGCCGGCCTCAAAGTGCTGCAGCTCATCAACGACAACACTGCCACCGCCCTCAGCTACGGCGTCTTCCGTCGAAAAGACATCAACACCACCGCCCAGGTGAGCAGGGAGGCGCCCTGACCAGACACACAGGGGGCCAGAGTCCGAGGCTGGCGCTCTCCTGGCCTGCTTTGCATCTCATTTGCATGGCTGGCTCTTGGCAAAAGGCAGCCGCAGCCTCCTCCCAGCCCATGCTGGGGCTGCTGGACTTTATGCTGAGAGCTGGCCTGGGCCCCTGGAGGCAGGCAGGTGGACAGCAGCGCCCTGAGGTCTGATGAGGCTCCTGTGACACTTGCTCTGATGTCGCCGCAGAACATCATGTTCTATGACATGGGCTCAGGCAGCACCGTGTGCACCATCGTGACCTACCAGACGGTGAAGACAAAGGAGGCCGGGATGCAGCCACAGCTGCAGATCCGGGGCGTGGGGTAAGTGGGTGCTCAGGGGTGGGCTTCTTGTTGAGACCCTTGAGTCAGGGGCTTCCTCCTGGAGGGGCACCGCTCCCCTTCCTGATCACTGCAGGAATGCTCCCCAGGTTATAGCGTTGCTCGCCGTGGGGTGCCACTGCCCGAGAGCAAGGCCTGGAGAGGACGGCTGGGAAGGCTGAAAGGCGGGGAGCCCGTGGAGCGTCTAGGGAAATGCACAGGATGGCAGGCCACCTGTTAGGTGTTAGAGGCCATCATGTTTTCTCTTTCGAGTTCACTTAAAAGCTGCTCGCTCTTGTCTGTCTGCTGTCGGTGGATTCCGGCACCCCCATGCTGGTCTGGCCGTTGCCCCTTACCTCCAGGATTAAACAGGACCTCTCTGTCTCCTTTGGGTTCTCTCTCCGTAGTGCAGCCAGAGGCTGGTGTTAACAATGCCAAACTGATTGTAGCCCGTTTCTTCAGAAAGCACTCGGTCACACCAAAACCTTGCTGTGCCCACCTAAGCCCCGCCTCCCACAGCTCGGCTCTAGTCCCAGCAGCGCCCTCCTTTGGAACTTGCTCTCTCAGGGTCGTTATGAGCACTGCTCCTTCCATCTAGAATGTTCTTCCCTCGCTCTACCAGCCCACCCTTCAGGTTTCAGTTCAGGCATCACTTCTTCAGGGAAGCTCTCCTGGATGTCGCTGAATAGCCCACGCGCACGCCCGGCCCGCTGTACTCTCCTTTGTAGCACACACTTGACATTGACGTGGCCTTCCCGCTGCTAGATCATAAGCCCTGGCAGCAGGGACCCTGTCTCCCCGCCACTCCTGCCACAGTTACGTTCCCAGAGACGAGTGCATAGTCAGTGCTCAGTAAATACCATGAACGAATGAGCGAGCTGCCTGCGTGGGGTGTCAGCCATGCTGTGGGGAGCAGAGAGCAGTGTGGGTCCCTGCCTGAAACATGGGGCTCCTGCGTGGGCGGAGGGACCCCCGTGTGTTCCTCACACTTTCCCCTGCTGCCTTCTCTGAGCAGGTTTGACCGCACGCTAGGCGGCCTGGAGATGGAGCTCCGGCTGCGGGAGCACCTGGCCGGGCTTTTCAATGAGCAGCGCAAAGGCCAGCGAGCAAAGGACGTGCGAGAGAACCCGCGGGCGATGGCCAAGCTGCTCCGTGAGGCCAACCGACTCAAAACCGTCCTGAGCGCCAACGCCGACCACATGGCCCAGGTGCCCCCGGGGCTGCATGCAGCCGGACTTGCCCCCAGGGATGCGGAGGGCCCCTGCTTCACCCACTGGGCTTGTTGCCTGCTGGTCCCTGGGCGTCAGTGCCGCCAGCAGAGAGCAGGCACTGACACGCCTCGTCCTCCCCCAGATCGAGGGCCTGATGGACGACGTGGACTTCAAAGCAAAAGTGACCCGAGTGGAGTTCGAGGAGCTGTGCGCCGACCTGTTCGAGCGGGTGCCCGGGCCCGTTCAGCAGGCCCTCCAGAGTGCCGAGATGAGTTTGGTGAGGGGCTGGGGCAGGGGCCGTGGAGGACGTGGGGGAAGGGTCAATGGAGAAAGGGGCGTCGACCGCACGCGGCCCCACCTCACGTTCCTCCCCTCTGCAGGATGAGATTGAGCAGGTGATCCTGGTGGGCGGGGCCACTCGGGTCCCCAAAGTTCAGGAGGTGCTGCTGAAGGCCGTGGGCAAGTGAGTGTGGGGCTGGGGCTGCCCGGCGGAGGGTGGCTGGGTGTCCCCGTGGATGGCGCTGGAGCCTGGGACTCTCCTAGGGAGGAGCTCGGGAAGAACATCAACGCGGACGAGGCGGCTGCCATGGGGGCCGTGTACCAGGCAGCTGCCCTGAGCAAAGCCTTCAAGGTGAAGCCGTTCGTCGTCCGGGACGCCGTGGTCTACCCTATCCTGGTGAGTGAACCCCCTTTCCCTCTCCAGGCAGGAGCCCCGCTTCCCTCTGTCTCCGCGGCCAGGGATCCCCACCTCCTCCGGTTCTCCAGTGCGCCCTGTCTGCCTGCTGTGTAGGTGGAGTTCACCAGGGAGGTGGAGGAGGAGCCCGGGGTCCGCAGCCTGAAGCACAATAAGCGCGTGCTCTTCTCCCGCATGGGGCCCTACCCTCAACGCAAAGTCATCACCTTCAACCGCTACAGCCACGATTTCAACTTCCACATCAACTACGGCGACCTGGGCTTCCTGGGGCCTGAGGATCTTCGGTGAGGGGCAGGGTGTGGGGCCTGCGGGGCTGCCGGGGGAGCAGGCCGAGGGGTTGGGGCGAGGTGGCAAGCCGCCTCTTTGGGCAGTAGTTTGGCCTGGCCTTGGAGAGTGCCCCTGCCGGCCCCAGTGTGAGGCTGTGCGGTCCGCGGTCCCCTCAGACTCTTCTCTCCTGCCCACCCAGGGTGTTTGGCTCCCAGAATCTGACCACAGTGAAGCTGAAAGGTGTGGGAGAGAGCTTCAAGAAGTATCCCGACTATGAGTCCAAGGGCATCAAGGCCCACTTCAACCTGGACGAGAGCGGGGTGCTCAGTCTAGACAGGGTGAGCGCAGAGCGGGCTGTGTGTGCAGGGCAGGGGCCCAGGCCTCACCGGCCCCTTCCCGGGTGGGTTCTGCGTGGTGTTAGGACGTGACAGACAGGGCGTGGAATCAGCAGATCTTGGCTCCACAGGGCTCGCTGGGGATCTGGCATGGGTTCTCTCGTGGGCTACCCATGCTTGTGGGTGTTGTGGGATTCTCTGAGGGAGCCAGGAATGAGAGGCAGCCGCTGTGCAGAGCACTTCTGGACTGCTTTTGAGGATGTGCCATGGGAAGTGTGCCCGTGCACGCTCCAGAGGGTACGGGAGCCAGGCTGCTTTTCTCGGGCTCATGATTGAAGGGGGCGGGGGCCATGCGGGAGTCCTCAGGAAGGCAGGCCAGTGCCGGGCGGGAGGCGGGCTTGCGGGTGTGCTGCTTCATTGCACCTGTTTGCAGGTGGAGTCTGTGTTTGAGACAGTGGTGGAGGACAGTCCAGAAGAGGAATCTACTCTCACCAGTAAGGAGCGTCTGCGTGGGTGTACATGTGCGTGTGCGTGTCTGAGAGAGATTATGCTTGGACTTGGGCAGTTCATGGAAGCAGACAAGGCATTGCCGTTGGCTGAGGAGGTGGAGTCACTGCTGTGGTCCCCTAATTTTTTCTTTTTATAAATTTATTTGAAAGGCAGAGTTACAGAGGGAAAGAAATAGAGACAGTCAGAGAGATCTTCATCTGCTGGTTCACTCCCCAAATGGCCACAATGGCCAGAGCTGAGCTGATTGGAAGCCAGGAGCTTCTTCCAGGTCTCCTGCATGGGTGCAGGGGCCCAAGCACTTGGGCCGTCTTCCAGTGCTTTCCCAGGTGCATTAGCAGGGAGCTGGATTGGAAGTGGAGCAGCCAGACCTCGAACTGGTGCCCACACGGAAAGCCAGCATTGCAGGTGGCAGCTTAACCTGCTAAGCCACAGCGCCAGCCCCTGTGGTCCCCTTTTGAGTCTTTGGCTTTCTTCCCCCTAGAACTCGGCAACACCATTTCCAGCCTGTTCGGAGGTGGCGCGACACCAGATGCCAAAGAGAATGGTACTGACTCGGTCCAGGTGAGCTCAGGAAGGAGCTGGGGACGTGGAGGACAGCACGTGGGGCAGGGAGTGGCAGCAGAGGCAGGCAGTTGGGTGGGCTCAGCTGCTTGGAACTCGGAGCAGCTCTCGCCCTCCCCCTCCCCCAGCCCAGCCTTCTGCAGGCTCCTCCGCACTCCAGGCTGTTCCCTGTTCCAGAGCCCAGAGCCATTGCCCTCAACTCCAGACCCGCTCCCTTTGTCCGGGCAGCCTGCTGACCGTTCCCTTCACTTGTCATCCGTCCTCCCTGACGCTGTGCCCTGAGCCGTGAGCACCTGCACTGCCGAGGCCAGGCCTGCCTGGGGATCTGCTGCTGGGGCTGCCCTGCAGCGTGTCTGTCTGTCCCCCAGGAGGAGGAGGAGAGCCCTGCTGAGGGGAGCAAGGACGAGCCTGGGGAGCAGGCAGAGCTCAAGGAAGAAGCAGGGGCCCCCCGAGAGGATGCCTCTCCGCCCCCACCCCCTGCGCCTGAGGGGGACACAGGCCCTGAGGAGGCAAAGGCAGCAGAAAAGGAAGATGGGGACAGATCTGAGGCACCGGTGAGCCGAGGACCCGGGGACAGGGGGCGGGGCTGCCCGCTTCCCGCTGCAGAAGGTTCTCAGTCCCCTCTTCCTCCCCAGAAGCCAGGCGAGAAGGGGGAGGCAGGGCCCGAGGGCGCCCCTGCAGCCCCCCAGGAAGAGAAGAAGCAGAAGCCCGCCCGGAAGCAGAAGATGGTGGAGGAGATCGGGGTGGAGCTCGTCATTCTGGACGTGCCTGACTTGGCAGAGGCCGAGCTGGCCCGCTCAGTGCAGAAGTAAGTGGGCGAGAGAGCGTGCACCTGCGTGTGCGCTGGACGTGGGGCGCAGTGGGCGGGAGAGTGTGTGCACGCATGTACACTGGACGTAGGATGTAGTGGGCGAGAGAGCGTGCGCCTGCGTGTGCGCTGGACGTGGGGCACAGTGGGCGGGAGAGTGTGTGCAGGCATGTACACTGGACGTGGGGCGTAGTGGGAGAGAGAGCGTGTGCACGCATGTACACTGGACGTGGGGCGCAGTGGGAGAGAGAGTGTGTGCACACATGTACACGACGTAGGACGTAGTGGGCGAGAGAGCGTGCGCCTGTGTGTGCGCTGGACATAGGACATAGTGGGCGAGAGAGCGTGTGCACGCATGCACACTGGACATAGGACGTAGTGGGCGAGAGAGCGTGTGCCTGTGTGTGCGCTGGACGTGGGGCGCAGTGGGTGAGAGTGTGCACCCATGCACACTGGACATAGGATGTAGTGGGCGAGAGAGCGTGTGCCTGCATGTGTGCTGGACGTGGGGCGTAGTGGGCAAGAGAGTGTGTGCATGCATGCACGCTGGACATAGGACGTAGTGGGCGAGAGAGTGTGTGCCTGCGTGTGCACTGGACATAGGACATAGTGGGCGAGAGAGCGTGTGCACGCATGTACACGACGAAGGACGTAGTGGGTGAGAGAGCGTGTGCCTGCGTGTGCGCTGGACGTGGGGCGCAGTGGGCGGGAGAGTGTGTGCACGCATGCACACTGGACATAGGACGTAGTGGGCGAGAGAGCGTGTGCCTGCGTGTGTGCTGGACGTGGGGCGTAGTGGGCGGGAGAGCGTGTGCATGTGTGTGCCTGCGTGTGTGCTGGACGTGGGGCGTAGTGGGTGAGGGTGTGTGCATGCATGTACACTGGACATAGGACGTAGTGGGCGAGAGAGCATGTGCACGCATGCACACTGGACATAGGACGTAGTGGGCGAGAGAGCGTGTGCCTGCGTGTGCACTGGACGTGGGGTGTAGTGGGCTAGAGAGCGTGTGCCTGTGTGTGCGCTGGACGTGGGGCATAGTGGGTGAGAGCATGTGCACGCATGCACCCTGGACATAGGACGTAGTGGGCGAGAGTGCATGTGCCTGCGTGTGCGCTGGACGTGGGGCGCAGTGGGCAAGAGAGTGTGTGCCTGCGTGTGCGCTGGACATAGGACATAGTGGGCGAGAGAGCGTGTGCACACATGCACACTGGACATAGGACATAGTGGGCGAGAGAGCGTGCACCTGTGTGTGCGCTGGACGTGGGGCGTAGTGGGCGAGAGAGTGTGTGCCTGCGTGTGTGCTGGACATAGGACATAGTGGGCGAGAGAGCGTGTGCATGCATGCACACTGGACATAGGACGTAGTGGGTGAGAGAGCGTGTGCCTACATGTGTGCTGGATGTAGGACGTAGTGGATGAGAGTACATGTGCACTGGACGCAGGACGTAGTGGGCAACAGAGCGTGTGCCTGCATGTGCGCTGGACGTGGGGCGTAGTGGGCGAGAGCGTGTGCACGCATGTACACTGGACATAGGATGTAGTGTGCTGGACATAGGACGTAGTGGGTGAGAGTACGTGTGCACTGGACGCAGGACGTAGAGGGCGAGAGTGCATGTGCACATGTGTGCGCTAGACGTGGGGCGCAGGGCGTGGAGCGGCCTCCTGCCCAGGAGAAACGCCCAGAGCCTGAGCCCTGAGCCGCTCTTTCCCTCGTGCCCTCTTCTTTGTCCCACAGGCTCGAGGACTTGACGTCGCGAGACCTGGAGAAGCAGGAACGGGAGAAGGCTGCCAACAGCTTGGAGGCTTTCATCTTTGAGACGCAGGTGGGTGGGCTGGGCAGCACCCGGTCCCTGGCTCTGAGAGCCTTGCCTGGGGTCGCTGCCCGCACGCACCCGTGTCCCTCCCTAGGACAAGCTGGACCAGCCCGAGTACCAGGAAGTGTCCACCGAGGAGCAGCGCGAGGACATCTCGGGGAAGCTCAGAGCCGCGTCCTCCTGGCTGGAAGACGAGGGCTTTGGGGCCACGACTGCGGTGAGGGCCTCCCAGGACGTGGCAGGTGGGGCGAGGGGCTGCGAGGCCATTAGGAGGGACGTGGGGCTGATCAGGGCTCTCCTGTCACCCCTGCCCAACCCCGCCTCCCTCAGAAGTTGAAGGAGAAGCTGGCGGAGCTGAAGAAGCTGTGCCAAGGGCTGTTTTTTCGGGTAGAAGAGCGCAAGAAGTGGCCTGAACGACTGTCGGCCCTCGACAATCTGCTCAACCATTCCAGCATGTTCCTCAAGTGAGCGGCACCTGCGCCCTTTCTGCTTCATTTAGTCCTGCCAAGGCCCCTGGCTCTGGTTCCGTCCACTGCCACCCCCCACACCCTGGGCCTCTTCCCACCTAGCCCAGGGCTGACTGTCCTCTCTGCCATCCAGGGGAGCCCGGCTCATTCCAGAGATGGACCAGATCTTCACGGAGGTGGAGATGACCACGTTGGAGAAAGTCATCAATGAGACTTGGGTAACCACCGCGGAAGCTGGCCGTCGGCCCCGTGGGAGGTGGTGGGAGCCGGAAACGTGGCGGCGTCGGCCTCCTGGCGTAGCCACTGACTGGGAAGGCAGGATATTTGCATCTGAGCCCGCTTTTGATTAGCCCCAAGCAAGGGTCAGAGCTGAGAGTCGGGGGGAACAGAGAAGCCTGGGTCCATGAGTGAGGGAGAGCCAGGCTCAGAGATGGGCCGGGTGTGGACCAGCCAGGTGACCTGTCCTGTGAGGCAGACGCTGCTTGGGATGGGTGGGGACTTCCTGAGTCAGCCTAGACGTGCAGAGGCCAGGAAGGAAGAAGCAAGGGCTTCGCTCCGCTGTGGCTGCCCCAGAGCTGGAGGCTTGCAGTGCGGGCCTCTATGGCCTGCCCTGCGGAGGCGCCTGCTCACCTGGGGGCAGACGGCAAGGAGTGGCAGAGTGAGGAGCCTGGAGCTGCTTGGGGACCGGTTCCTCCTGGGAGAGAGACGGCTGCGCACACTGTGGCCAGCGCTGAGCCTGTCCTGGCCTCCCCCACAGGCCTGGAAGAATGCGACGGTGGCCGAGCAGGCCAAACTTCCCGCCACAGATAAGCCTGTGCTGCTCTCAAAAGACATCGAGGCCAAGATGATGGCCCTGGACCGCGAGGTGCAGTACCTGCTCAATAAGGCCAAGTTTGCCAAGCCGCGGCCCCGGCCCAAAGACAAGAACGGGACCCGGACAGAGCCTCCCCTCAATGCCAGTGACAGTGACCAGGGGGAGAAGGTCATCCCTCCAGCAGGTGAGGGCCAGGTGCCCGGTTCCCTGTTCCTGCGGGCAGGGGGCGCTGCTCTCCCTCCTGGGCACACACTCATCCTGCTCTCCCCACAGGCCAGACGGAGGATGCGGAGCCCATCCCCGAACCTGAGAAAGTGGAAGCGGGTGAGTGGGGAGACTGGCGGGGGACACTGTGTTAGCGGGGCAGGCAGACTGGCAGGTGCAGCCCACAGACTGTACAACCTTTATAGAAACTAGAAGAGCTCCTTTAAAAAAGGAAAGCAGGCAGAGACCCCCGTGGCCCACCCATCCTCAGTCATTAGCTGACTCTTTCCAGAAGCAGTTTGCCAACCCCTCGCTCGGTTAGCTTGTCCCTGCCTTCTGTGGAGCCTGACCAGCCCTTTGTTTCCCCAAAGCAGAATCGGAACCAGCAAGCCCAGAGACTTTGGAGTTAGGAGGTCCGGGAGCAGGTGAGGGTGGAGCCGGGGCATGCCGGGAAGCCTGGGTGGTCTCGGGGAGGAGAGCCATAGGGGACCCTGGGCTACTCCCTCGGTCTCAGCTGCTGTCTGTCCTTGGCTCTCCCCTCCCCCACAGCATCAGAACAGGAGCAGCCAGCGCGGCAGAAGCAGCCTGTGAAGAATGATGAGCTATAACCCCCACCTCACGGCCCTGTTTGTCACCACCCCCTTCTCCTGCCACCTCTATTTATTAAACATCGATGGGGGAGGGGGTCGGTCCTGCCCTGGGGGCTCCTTTTCTCTCACTTGCAGCTAGAGTGTGGAGAAGGGGAAGGAGAGGCCAGCTCACCGGCTCCTTCTGGGATAGCTCTGAGGTTAAAGCCAGAACTTGTCTGCCGCCTGCTCCCACCCCGGCTCCCTGCCCACCCAGGCCCTACACTGGGGAATAATCACTATTAGGTCTTAAGGCTTTGCCTGCAGGTAGGCGAGAGAACGGCCACAGTGGCTGACTGGGCCTGGAGGTAGGGAGGGCATCCTGGGACATGGGGGAGTGTCCAGTCCTCTCTGGTCATCCCGCCCTCCCTCCTTCCCCTCCCCCCATGAAACCCATGTCCCGCTGGGCCAGTCTGCACAGCCTCAGTTACCAGCCTTGGTTTCTGAGTCTCTGCCCCTTCCTCCCTCCAAGGTCTTCCCATCCCCGCCCCCCACCCCATGCATTTTCTTGGCTTCCTGGTGCAGGTTGGGTAGTTCTCTGCCCCTTGCCCAAAGCCTTCCATCTGGACTGACTGAAGGAAATCTGGAAGTATTCCGCTCTCACGGATGACCCTTACTGGCCAGAGGAGGCAGAGAGAAAGGGGAGGGGGAGGTGTGTGACAGCCCCGGAAAGCCTGTGGAGTGGTCAGTGTGGGAAACCAGCATCGTGCAAGCCCTCAAAACCTGCATCTTCCCCGGAGGCTGGCCGCCCTGGGGCCTGCGCCCACCTGCCTCCCCTCCTGCTGCTCTGCCCCTGCCCCCCGGGCTGACCAAATGTGCTTGCTACTGTGAGCCCCTATGCTGAGACCCTGGGGCTTGGAGAGCCCACGGTGTGAATGTAAACACAGCACCTCACTCTTGGAGGCAGGCTTTGCGGGTGGAGGAAGAGGGCGGGCGGCCTTCCTCCATGCATTGCTCTGCTGGGGTAGGGGCAGGAGCTGGAGCAGCCTCCTGCGCTCCGGGACGAGGGTGAACCGGGTTGTGTCAGTCATTCTGTCTTTTTTGTCCTTTTTTTTTGTTTTTGCCACATTGGCAGAAAAGGTCCCCCCACCCCCTTCTGTATGTTCGAGTTCTTTCATTAGCAGTTGAGGCTGGTTGGACAGGTTTGAATCAAATTGTACTTTGCTCCATTGTTAATTGAGAAATTGTTTCAATAAAATATTCTTTTCTATAGTTTTTGTGCTATCATTTTGAAACATGAGTTTGTTTCTCAAATATACATGATGCATGTGAAGGGGCAGCTGTTTGGTACAGCAGTCAAGCCACGCTTGGGATACCCACATCCCACATCAGAACTCCTGGGTTGCAGTCCTGACTGCTTCCAGTTCAGTTCCTGCTAATACACCAAATGGGAGTGGAGAGGCTCCAGGCTCATGGCTTCAGCTTGTCCTAGTGCCGGCTGTTAGGGGTGTTTGGGGAGTGAATCAGCAGATGGAAGATCTTTGCCTTTAAATTAGAATTTCAAGACTGCATGTTTAACAGAAGGTAAGACAGGAAGTGGACATTTACCCTAGTTAAGATGCCCATGTCCCAGATTGGAGTTTCTGGGTCCAGTCCCCAGCTCCTGACTCCAACTTCCTGCCAATGCTGGTCCTGGGAGGCTCCAGTAGTTCAGTTCTGGGTACCCATGTGGGAGACAGATTTGAGTTGAAGCCGCCTGGGTCTAACCCAACAACCCCTTCCAATTACGGCAATCATTTGGGGTGTGAACCAGTAGGGGGAGCGCTTTCTTACTCTTAACAATTTCACTTGCTGGCTTACGCTCTCTGACCCAAATTCTTTTGAAGATTTATTTACTTGAAAGAGGGAGAGACAGAGGTCTTCTGTCTGCTGGTTCACGCCCCAGATGGCCACAAGGGCAAAGCCTGGGCCAGGCTGAAGTCAGGAGTCAGGAGCTTCAGCTGGGTTTCCCACGTGGGTGGCACGGCCCCAAGTACTTGAACCATCTTCTGTTTTTCCCAGGCCATTAGCAGGGTGTTGGATTGGAAATGCAGCAGCCGGGACACGAACCAGCAGCCACGTGAGATGCTGGCATCACAGGCAGTGGCTTTACTTGCTACACCACAACACTGGCCCCTCAAATAAAATTTTAGGTTACCTTTCAAAAGATTGTTAACATTCTGGACTTAGTTGAGATTTATATATTTTTTTCATGAAAATAAAATTTTGGTTCTGTTTTCCCTCTACCATTATTTGGACTTCTACCTGCCAGACATTCTTAGGTAGCGTCCATTCCCAAGGTAATAAGGCAGTGCACAGAGGCTGGGCAGTTGGTCTGAGGACGACCTCTTTGTAATCTGCCACAGGAACATAATAGAGATTCACCTCCGTGGCTCAGCTCCCTATTTTCCCAAGGGAGGTAAAACTGTCTTGAGTCATTTACATATCCAAGCAGTTGAGTATATATTTAATGATGACGGAGGTCATTTTTTACTCTGAAGACTGGACAGGTTAGACAAGTTTTGAACCTTAATAATAGATGGCTGAGCGCAGTTTTGAATTCAGCAGTACAGAGTGTCCGCATGTAACTCCCACACGCTCAGCCTCCCCCAGGGTGGTGAGCCCGTACTTCACTGTCATCCAAAGGTCTGTGTGACAGTTATGGTGGAGGGTATGTGTCATTTGACAAAATCCGCAGGCCATCCAGCACCAAGAGTGGACAGTAATGTAAAATGCAGACTGGGCAGCGCCAGTGTAGCTTCGTGGATCGTTGTAAGCAGATCACGCCTGTGCAGGGCCCTGAGAGAGGCCGCTCTGGATTGCACGTGGTTTCCGTGTGTCCCCCAGGGCTCAGCTGTTGGGACCTTGGACCCTAGTGTGGTGGTGCTGAGAGGTGATGGACCTCAAGGGCTGGCGCTGAGGTGTAGCAGGTAAGGCCTCCGCCTGCAGTGTCAGCATCCCATAAGGGCGCCAGTTCAAGTACTGGCTGTTCCACTTCCGATCCAGCTCTCTGCTATTGAGCCTGGGAAAGCAGCGGAGGACAGTCCAAGTCCTTGGGCCCCTGCAACCACATGGGAGACCCAGAGAAAGCTCCTGGCTTCAGATTGGTCTAGCTTTGGACATTGCAGCTATTTGGGGAATGAATTGGCAGATAGAACTCTCTCTCTCTCTCTCTCTCTGCCTCTCTGTAGCTCTACCCTTCAAATAAAAATCTTAAAAAAAAAAAAAAAAAAAAAGTTGGGCCCTGTGGAGGTCCTTAGGTCACTGGGAGTGCACTTGCAAGGCATTAAGCTCCCTCCTGTGGGACCGCCGAGCTCTCTCCAGAGCACGTTGCTAAGAGAGTGAGCCCAACTCCTACACCATTTTCTGGCTTCCTGTGTCCGGGTGTAGTCTCTTCCTCCCACATGTGATCCTGCCCTTGTGAGACCATCACAGTGAGGTTCCTATCATCTTATGCCAAGGCCTTGGTCTCAAATCTCCAGGACTCTGAGCCAAATAAGCCTTTTTACTTTACAGCAGTAGCCTGTATTGGGTATTTCGTTGTAGTGATAATACAGTAGGAGAGGCTGCGAGTGTGTGGAAGCAGGGGCAAATGGGACATTGCTTCCCACCGAATTTGCTCAAATTGCTCTAATAGGTTTTTGGTTTTTTTTTTGTTTGTTTGTTTGTTTTTTGTTTTTTTTTTTTTTGACAGGCAGAGTGGACAGTGAGAGAGAGACAGAGAGAAAGGTCTTCCTTTTGCCCTTGGTTCACCCTCCAATGGCCGCCGCGGCCGGCGCACCGCACTGATCCAAAGGCAGGAGCCAGGTGCTTCTCCTGGTCTCCCATGGGGTGCAGGGCCCAAGCACCTGGGCCATCCTCCACTGCACTCCCTGGCCACAGCAGAGAGCTGGCCTGGAAGAGGGGCAACCGGGACAGAATCCGGCGCCCTGACCAAGACTAGAACCCGGTGTGCCGGCACCACAAGGTGGAGGATTAGCCTAGTGAGCCGTGGTGCCGGCGCTCTAATAGTTTTTTTAAGGGTTTTTAAAAACTTATTTGAAAGATTAACAGAGAGGGAGAGGGAAAGACAGAGATCTTTCACGTGCTGGTTCACCCCTCAGCAAGGTCTGAGCCAGGAACTCCATCTGAGTCTCCCACATGGGTGGTGGGGACCTAAGTACTTGGGCCACCATCTGCTGTTTTCCCAGGCACATGAGCGGGGAGCTGGATCTGAGGCAGAGTAGCCAGGACTCAAATTGGCACTCTAATGTGGGATGCAGGCGTCGCAAGCAGATTAACCTGCTGCGCCACAACACCAGCCCCCTAACAAAGTGGTTCCACATGTGGAGCCCGTCTCCCCTTCCTTCAAGTCTCGGTGGTCCTGTCTCCCCTTCCTTCAAGTCTCGGTGGTCCTGTAGCCTGCCTTGGCCGACAGAAGCAAGCTGAACCATCTGGAACGAGGCCCCAAGATGCTTGCAGGCTTCAGTTCTTCCTCAGACCCCTGCCGTGAGAAGGAGTTCGCGCTTCTCTGCAGGATGACGCAAGACCACAGGGAGCACGCACTTCGTCTCCTCTGGGCCTGTCTGAGATCAGCCAGGCACCAGGCCCCCCGCCTGCAGACACAACATCAAGGCCCCGCTGACCCCGCTGACTCGTGTGCTATAAGACATTCGTGATTGGTTTAAGTGACTGGATTCTGGGGTGATTTTGTTAATTGTAATAGTTAAGTACAGGGGCCAACACTGTGGTGTAGCGGGTAAAGCTGTCACCTGCAGTGCCGGCATCCCATATGGGGGCTGGTTTGAGTCCCAGCTGCTCAACTTCTGATCCAGCTCTCTGCTATGGCCAGGGAAAGCGGTGGAAGATGGCCCAAGTGCTTGGGCCCCTGCACCTGCATGGGAGACCAGAGGAAGCTCCAGGCTCCTGGCTTCGGATCGGCGCAGCTCCGGCCGTTGCGGCCATTTGGGGAGTGAACCAGCAGATGGAAGACCTCTCTCTCTCTGCCTCTCCTTATCTCTATGTAACTCTGACTTTCAAGTATATAAATAAATCTTTTAAAAAAATAGTTAAGTACAAATGTTAATTGATAACTTGCTGCTTTGGCAGCTCTCTGAGACCTCCGGACAGTGATCTTATATGTGGATCAGTTGTTCTATTTGTTGGCAGGAAGACCAGCCTGAAACAAGGCTAATCTGACATTACTAGAAGCGAAGCAACCTTGATGACCTTCATAAGAGTTTCATGACTCCTGCTTTATATTTCTGAAAGTATTTATATGTTGATTTTAACTTCTTGACCCACCAGTCTGCCTTGTCTATTACATAGGGTTCAATTTTTCAGCATCTTATAACAATTTCTTTCCTGTCTAGACTTCTCCCTCCTGAGCTCACATCTCCTTGGCTGGTGGACTTCTGATGAACAGCTAAAACTCCCGGGGCTGGCGTTCAGCAGAGCAGAGCTCGGGACACCAGCATCCCATATTGCAGTGCCTGGGTTCAAGTCCTGGCTCTGCTTCTGACCCCACCTTCCTGCAAACGTGAACCCTGGGAGGCAGCAGATGATGGCTCAAGTCCTTTGTTCCTGGCACCACTGTGGAAGACTCAGATTGCATTCCTGACTCCTAGCTTTTGCCTGCCCCAGCCCGCTGTTGTGAGCACTTGCGAAATGAACCACAGATGGGAGAGTTCTCTCTCTCTTTCCCTCCCTCTCCCTCTCCGATTCAAGGAAACACATCAAGCTCATGTCTAGCATGTGCACTTCCTGATGGATGAGGCTTGAGTTGAGAGGAGGGGTGTGAAACGTACTCGCACAGCAGCAATTGTTCTGGTGTTAACATCTTCCAAAGTAGTGCAGCCCCCACGCTGGGAGCTGCTTTCCATGCTGACACTCTCTCTGCTTTCAGGTTTTACGGCAGCAAAGTAAAGGCTCGGATTCAGCCAGTCTACCTCCCCCTGTGTTGCAAACCTACACCCGGGCCTGTTGACACCGAGTTGGCAGCTGTCTTCCGCCCTAAAGATCAACACGGCCAGCCACAGGCCCTGCCGGGTACTGCTGAGAGACAGTGAGCTGCTGACCTAGAAACTCGCTCCTGCCTTATCTCTTGTCCCTGTACCTGGGCTTCCTCTAGTGCCCTTGACCCCTACCCTAAAGGCACGAGGGCACTGGCTCCCGTTCTCCAGGAGCGCAGCCACGGCTGGGTGCACGATTGACAGGGACCCCACCCTTCCTCCCACTTCTGACTGTGGCTTGGG